GAGTGGCGGAGAAGTATCCCCGGGTAAGTATTGTATGATTTTAATAAAGTACCGTACGCTAACTCGTCTACGCTTATTTTAACATTTCCCTATTTTTTACAGAGTTAGCCGCACGATAGGTCAAAGGACGGTCTCGGACCCTTACAAGTGGTTTCACGATATCACCACTGCGGGAGCTTGGCTCGCCGACGATGTAAGTGAACTATTCATTTCGTATATTTTATGTATACGTCACTTTGTGTTTATTAAATGAATAACTCATACTTTTTTTGTGTTTCCTGCTGCAGCACATCGACCTGGCCATGGACTTGCTACGAGATCGAGATCAAAAACATCCAAAATAATTTGATGTCCATGGTCGAGTCATATTAAACACCGAGTTCTTGCGTGCCGTTACCATAGAGTATTAGTCGCTCGAACTTATGGGTAACTAGTACATGGTGCCAGAATATATGCTCGAGTGGGTGATAGGACTGTCACCGAGTGTCGAGGGAAAATCATGGGAGGGTTGTACACATATGTACATTTCAGCGTGCATCAATAAACACCATGTTACGCTGGAGATCGTTTTTGCTGACTCGACTATATATGTGTACGACCCAAATCATTCATGTTTGACATAAGGCCAATTGGAGCAAAACCTGGAGTCCGTGGTTGTAATTGTTCCTATGATGGCCCGAGAGCGGGGATAAATGTACAGGACAGATTACAGATTGTTCGGAACACGACAATAGCGCGACAGTCCGTAAGGTAAGTGTTTGAACTTTGTTGTTTTTATCTTTCAGATTTAGTTTTTACTTACACAATACTGAATTGATTCATTCTTGTTCAATTGCAGTGGCGACTGAGGTATATTTGCCATTAAGTACATTGAATTTTTAAGTATAGGGCATAAGGTTGATGGAATCAACCAGTCGTGGATACAGAACTGGAGAAAGAAGCTAGCATGTGATTTGTTCAAATTTAATGCTGACCCATAAATTTGTATTAAATATATGTAACATTTCAATTGTAAATTTAATTATTTTTTGTGATTATGAAATAATTGTAAATTTGTGTTCAATGTGTATAACATTCACATTGGAAATTTAATTATATTTTTTGTTTTGTTATTTTACACGTAGGCCGAGTATGAAACTATTTTTTTCGTATGAATCATTATAAATACTATTTATCAAGAATAAATATTGAACATCGAAGATTTATAAAGAACAAATATTGAACAGTGTAAAGTAAAAGGAAATATTTTTCATTTAACGTACCTGTCTAATTGTCATTTAGGGGAATTTGACTGGTACAAAATTGTCGAGTATGCCTTACGGCTCTTCACCTGCCACACCTATGCGGTCGCGGAAACTCTCCGGTAGATGGTATTCTAGATGTACTTGGACGTCTAGAACCACGCGGTTCAACTGCTGGTGGCAACAAATTATGAAATGAGAGAATGTGTTCGAGAACTTCCTACTCGGCTTCATTCGGCAGAGGAAATATAGTCTCAGCATATGCTGTTCTTCAAGACTCAGTCGTATAATACAAAGAGCATAACATTCTCGCAGCAAAGTCTCGATACATGGCCACCGCAACTGCATGCTCACATGGAAAACTCTCCAACTGAAATCTCGTACAACTGCATATGTTATTAGTCAAGTCCACCATATATGCCATATTACATGCACATTACACGGAGAAGCGAAACTCATCTAGTGCTTCCACATTCAACTGCTTCGCAACCTCTGCCGCCTTAAACAGTTTCTCCTCTTGAGCTGGGGCCAACATGCTAGTGCAACTCTGTGATGTCGCATGTCGGTCATGAAATTACTATTGTAGCTTGTTACGGATGTTCTCAATCATTGCAAGAATTGGTAACTCTCGATCTTTCTTAAACAATGCATTGAGAGACTCCGCGTTATTCGACGTCATCATGTTGTATCGACGTCCTGGAAAGTATGACCGCAACTAATGTTCGATCCCCATCTTCGTCAGATACTCCAACGTCGGTAATGATTTACTTCCTATCTCGAGCATGAACTTATTACACTCTTCAGCACTGTAAGCTTTGGCTGCTCTCCTGAACAATGAAACGATGCCTATGCCCCGATACCTAGTCTTCAAATTATCTTGTATATGGTACATACAGTACCCGTGATGTGCCTCGGGAAAAATTTCAGCGATACCGTGTATTATAGACTGTCCCCGATCGGTTACAAAGGCAAGGTCTTTGACTTCACCGATCACTTCCCTCAGTTTAGAAAAGAACCAACGCATGGACAGATCAATCTCGTTGTCGACTATGTCGAATGCAATAGGGTAAATTTGGATGTTGGCGTCTTGACATGTAGTAATAATTAATTTGCCTTGATATTTAGCTTTCAGAGTTGTACCATCAACTAAAATTACGGGTCGCATTGCATTTCGAAAACCCCGAATACATTGTCCGAGAGCCATGAAAAAATACTTAAAACAATTATCACCCCCCGTCTCAATAAAAAATGCCGTTCCAGGATTAGTTGTCCCCATGTTATGGCAATACCTAGCCAATTTAGCATAGCTCTTTTCAACCGATCCCATTAAATCCTCCAACGCACATTCTTTGGCCTTCCAAACTTTCTAGTAGCTCATGACCACTCCATACTCTCGACGGACGTCGTTAATGATATCCGAAGGTCTGTAGATCGTCGCGGATCCTGATACTTGTGCATTATCTGTCGACCAATAAACCATGCTCGAGCTTGCCTGTGATCGTTTCGAAGAATTCCCACTTCGCAAGTATGTTCCCGTGAATACTTGTGAATTACGAAGCACTCATTCGTGTCCATCTTAGTTGCTCTCAAGCGCCAATTGCAACTGTCTTCGACGCAGGTAACTGTCAACAATGACTTGTTTGATTTTTTACCTTGAACTCAAAGTTATATTTTAATGCCAGTCGGTGCACAGCTTCCTGCAAATCTTTCTTGGTTTCAAACAGTTGCTTAACCTGCAAGTCCTCATCATCTGGACCCACACGGGAAGAATTGGAGGACGGTCCACTTGTTCCAACCTGTGAGCTCCCACCCGGCTCGTGTCTCTGTCGGGATAAAGCAATCAAATTCTCATTTGTAAACTCGTATATATTCTCATTGTCTTCAACTGTTGACAGAATTCTGCGCGTAACAGTGACATTACGATCAGAAGCAACTGTCTCAAAAATAACCACATCATCCGCAGGAGCTATCTCCACTGTCTCCCAAAAATCTCGATCATTGTTACCCGCCCTATCTGAATCTTCGCGTTCACCTTCGATAACATCCTTCGTAATTAAAGTCACACCAAGAACAATCGGAGTCCGATACATTTTATTCAATTCTAATAGATAATTCAATTTGGCATCATTAGTAACAAATACCGATGGCATCGGAATGGATGAATCCCCATAACCGTTGAATAGATTTGCATATCGTATTGATATTGATCGACATTCAGCTTATTTTACAAATCGTGGTACATTTCTAAATATGGTGTACTCTCTGTTATGGGAATTGCAATACAACCACGTATGTTACTCGTCCATCTCTATTCCCACCGATTATTTTCATTCAATTCGAAATCATCGAAATAACAGACGGGGATTATCATATCTGCATGAAGAAATGAATTTAATCAACTTCATTTATTAATTATAAGAAAAAATCAGTGCCAACAAAAATCAGTGCAGAGTCGGTGTTAATTGGCTGTTTAACAGCCGAATTTAATAGCCGACTCTTGGCTGTTAAAAAGTCGGCAGTCAGCTGTTTAACAGCCGACTGTTTGGCTTTTTTGCGCAAGAATTCTTCTACGATTCTAAAAAAAAATATTATACATCTGTTCAATTTTTTTTGATAGGTAAGATCTGTTAAAAAAAATTTATGCTAACTACTATGTCGACATAAAATTTCTCTATTCAAACGTATACTAATTTACTGAAAACGAAATTAAACATGTGTAAATGTACTTACCGATTTGAAGTAATTAATATGAAAAAAAAATTTCTGCTTCAACGTTTCAAAGTTTTTCTAGATTTTGAGGTTCAAGCAGATGAAAAGATGAGAGTTTTTTCTGTGTTGGAAGCTCGTTTTGAAGTTTTTATAAACCAGCAGTCGGCTGTTTAACAGCTGACTGTTTGGCTTTTTTGCGCAGGAATTCTTCTACGATTCTAAAGAAAAATATTATACATCTGTTCAATTTTTTTTGATAGGTAAGATCTATTAAAAAAAATTTATGCTAACTACTATGTCGACATAAAATTTCTCTATTCAAACGTATATTAATTTACTGAAAACGAAATTAAACATGCGTAAATGTACTTACCGATTTGAAGTAATTGATATGAAAAAAAATTTCAGCTTCAACGTTTCAAAGTTTTTCTAGATTTTGAGGTTCAAGTAGATGAAAAAGATGAGAGTTTTTCTGTGTTGGAAGCTCGTTTTGAAGTTTTTATAAGCCAGCAGTCGGCTTTTTTTTGCGCAGGAATTCTTCTACGATTCTAAAGAAAAATATTATACATCTGTTCAATTTTTTTTTTATAGGTAAGATCTGTTAAAAAAAATTTATGCTAACTACTATATCGACATAAAATTTCTCTATTCAAACGTATACTAATTTACTGAAAACGAAATTAAACATGTGTAAATGTACTTACCGATTTGAAGTAATTGATATGAAAAAAATTTCGGCTTCAACGTTTCAAAGTTTTTCTAGATTTTGAGGTTCAAGTAGATGAAAAGATGAGAGTTTTTTCTGTGTTGGAAGCTCGTTTTGAAGTTTTTATAAGTGGGAAAGTGTTTGATTTTCAATTATTAACTAAAAGGGTAGTATAGTCCTTTCAACAATATATTGTTTTGTAATTGTACAAAATATTTAAAGGCATCTTTGTTTTTTACCATATAAGAGGCCAATGTCATAATATTCATAATTTTGAACGTCAAAGTGGAATTTACGTCTTTTGACTGGGTCAAATTTAAAAGTACCCCCACACATGGCGTTATTGTATTGTATTCTGATATCGTTCTACAACCCAAACAGTACGCATTTCTTCCGATGCTCTTTCTACAAGATCTAATCTTCAAATTTCTGGGAAATTATCTTCTAAATTTTTTAATTGTACCCTCTGTTTATCCAATTTGGATATTTCTATTTCAATTGACTCAGTTATTGTTCCCACCCGTTAAATCTGCAAAATTCTAGGGTTTCGCTTTCAATCGATCTTTAAATATAGCCTTCATATCTGTAAATTGTTTGGATTTTTTTTAAAGATTTTACGTGGGTTTCCTTCCCCTTTAGTTATAGATAGAATTTGTTATTTTGCTTGGAGACGTTCTGAAACCTAGGGTTTCGATTTCGAGGATTTATCTTAGGGTTCATCATATTTGTAAATTGACTTGGGGTGTCGGTATGTCTCTTTCTGAATTGGATTTTCATAGCTTCATGCTCTGTATTTTAAGGAATATATGAATCTAGGTTAGGGATTTTTGATAAATTGGGGATTTTTTTTTAGCCCCATTTTATTGAAATAAATTTATTTGTTTTCAGCTGCCAATCGGTTGATGGGTTTGACGTCAATTTTTTTGTGCATAAATTATTTTTTTAAAATGGAAAATGTAGTTCAATCTCTCCCACTGTTATTTATTTATTCCTGAAAAGGTATGTCCTTTGATTTAAAATTCTTTCTTTAATTATGTCCTTTGATTTTTAATTCTTTCTTTAATAATACTTAACGTTTATTTATCATGTAATGTTCTCTAATGTATTACAGTAAAAACCAGTTTACTGTAAATTTTTGCTTCCAGTATTGGCAATAACTAATTGTGATTTTGAAAAATAAAATAAAATCTGTTGCGGTGTAAACTAAATATTAGTTTTTCAAAAAGTATAATGAACTTCACAATTTTTTATGATTGTAAAGGATGCGCTTCTTAAAGTTGAAACTAATTTCAGTGCTGCATTTTTAGTGGTATGACTGGTAATCCACATGACATCAAAGCAAATTCATGTTTTCTTGTTACATTTTTATGATATGTGGGTTTTTGGGTAGAGGTTCATTTGGAGTGTAACATCAGGTTTTATTAGCATTCTACTTATGATGCCAGCTTCAAAGTTCTTTCCTTCGTTTTCCACATGATTAATCAACAAGGTATAACATATCTTGCTGCATATGTTTACATATATGAATGTAAAGCATAACTGTCTACACTTGTGTTTTAACATCATGAATGTATGTATATGTGTCAGTCTTGTAATCTTATCTGTTCGTTCTCTTCAATATCTTTTCTCTTAAATATGTCAGATTTGAAACTTACAGGAGCACCCAGACATTCATTATGTCTCTATGGAGTATGGAGATTTTGCTAAACCTTTTTTGTTCTTGCATCTGATAGTTGATCTCTTAATTCGATAATCAATAACTATTTTTTTTACAGGTTATATTTACATTATTACACTTTTGTCCTGCAGTAGAAAAGATGGGAGCCAAGCGGCCATTTCAAGAGGACAACTTTCCGGAGCTTTCTTTCAAGCAAGTTAAACAGTTTGGTTTTAATAAAAATTTAAAATCATATGTTGAGGATTTTCCTTCTCATGTAACTTCTCCAAAATCTGATTTTAACGGTAATTTATGCGGTAAAATATGCCATTTACTTTCTGCATACACCGATATATTTTATATATAAAACATTATGTTCATCAAGTAAGGCGTCTCTATTGAGAAGCTTCTTGATGACATTTTTCTTTTGATTCATAGATGGAAAAAATAAGCAGGTTTTTTACTATGATACCGTTTCTTTTGACTTGTGTAATTAGTAACTTTGCCAGTCTCAGGTGAAGTTTCTCTGCTTCAAATTAAGCATTTTTCAGTATGGCATGATGTCAAGTCATGCAATATTTGACCTCACATTTTTAATCATATATTGTACCATAGGTGAAGCCAAAAGCAACTTTTCTAAAACCAATTTGATGAGAAGCACAGAAATGTTGACATCTATGGCTACTCTGATATGGTTCACAAGGAGTTCGAGATAGACAAGGAGTCCGAGATGAGTACACCCTTATCATGGGTAGCAAACAGCAGTACTGACAAAGATTCTGCTTTTGAGGACAAATTTTGTTGGTCTCACTTTCAAGATTATTTCGACTTTAGTGTTCCAAGATGACTCTGATATGGCTCACAAGGAGTTCGAGATAGACAAGGAGTCCGAGATGAGTACACCCTTATCATGGGTAGCAAACAGCAGTACTGACAAAGATTCTGCTTTTGAGGACAAATTTTGTTGGTCTCACTTTCAAGAGTATTTCGACTTTAGTGTTCCAAGACGACTCCCAGTTCAGTTCGAGGATCCATATTCATTTTTGTTGAATTGTTCTCCAAGGAAAAAAGTTCCTATTGGACCAGATCATCAGACTGAAGTTCCACAATGGGATCCGAATGCTGACAGGAAAGACACTTTATGTCCCAAATATGTTGAAAATGAAAATGAAGAAAAACTGATGGGAACATGTATCATCCCAATGCCTGGTTTAAATGTATGTACATTGCCGAGCAAACTGTAGCTGTCTGGACGCTGGTTGCATACAATGTGTACGACAACATATAAAAGAAGCACGAGAAAAGTTAAGATACACAATTGGAGATAAGAATTTCGCAGAGTTGGGATTTTTCAACATGGGAGAGGAGGTAGCATCCAGCTGGACTGAAGAAGATGAACAAATTTTTCATCAGGTCATTTATTCTAATCCAGTGTTGCTTGGTAAAAATTTTTTGGAAACACCTTTTTGTTGTGTTCCCTAACCGAACAAAGAAGGAAATTATCAGCTATTATTTCAATGTCTTCATGCTCCGGAGACGGGCTTTTCAAAACAGATCTAATCTGTTGGCCATAGATAGTGATGATGATGAATGACATGGCACTGATGGAGGATTCTATCAAGCTGGAGAAGAAGATGAAGACTCTGCGGTCGAATCTTTTAGTGATGAAGATGTTCTCACGGGGTATGGTGATGACTCTTCCTCCGAAAGTATAAGCAGGCACAAGGAGGACTATGGTAATGCCATTTCTGTCGGGGAAGGGACGGGGAATGTGGAGATGTTACTGAGATGAACAGTAAAAGAGTTTAAATGCCCTGATAAGAAACTTAGAAGTCAAAAGTTTTGATAGTAAACTTGGTTAATATCCTACTATTACACATTGAAATGTAGAAGAAAAAGGCTTCACGTTGAAGAATGAAAATGTTGTTGCTCTTCATTTTTGTATTGATCACATAATTTGCTTACTGGATTGGTTCATAATATTCATTTTCAATCATGCATTTTCTCAATAAATTTATTTTGTACGTAAATAAAAAAAAAAAATTATTATTAAAAAATTGGGCTCAAACACGTTGAAGTGTCCATTTTATTCATAGCTTATCCATAACGAGTGGGTTGGGAGTCTATTCTTACATGTACCCAAAAGACAATGATGCAGTCCAATGTGTATTGTGGGCATAGGCGGCAGTGACGTTGGGGCCATAGCTTTCCCATTATTATCGTAATTTTATTTAAAAACCAATTCTTCAACTTGGCATCTCAAAGATGTTTGGTAGGACTTTAACTAAAATTCTTTGTTTGATAGTCCCTCCATTCCAATTATATAAATCGAGTTTATTTTTTTTTTCTACAAATATACAGTCATGTTTCCAAATTTAAAATATTTTGTTTTCTCCTTTTACCAATATACCTTTAGTTAAGGCTACATAAAAAAAATTGTGAAATCGCAAACTGAACTTAAACTGTTGAGTTGAAACCGTTGGTTCGAATCCACGTGCACCCGTGGTTTTTTCCCCCTCAAACCGAATCAAATTGTTTAAAAACGGTTTGGTTCGATTTTGACAATTCTTCAACTTGGCATCTCAAAGATGTTTGGTAGGACTTTAACTAAAATTCTTTGTTTGATAGTCCCTCCGTTCCAATTATATAAATCGAGTTTATTTTTTTTTTTCTACAAATATACAGTCATGTTTCCAAATTTAAAATATTTTGTTTTCTCCTTTTACCAATATACCTTTAGTTAAGGCTACATAAAAAAAATTGTGAAATCGCAAACTGAACTTAAACTGTTGAGTTGAAACCGTTGGTTCGAATCCACGTGCACCCGTGGTTTTTTCCCCCTCAAACCGAATCAAATTGTTTCAAAATGGTTTGGTTTAGGTTTTGATTTTTCAAAATCGAACCAAACCGTTTTTAAATTTTTTAAGTAAAACATTAATTTTATTAACTTAAAATTTTTATAGTTTTCACATTTCAGAAAAATATCAATTTAGCAATACAAATTACAACCATCCTATTGAAATATTCATAGAAGTAAAATATGTTCATTATTATTGGCATATAGTTTAACAAGTTCATAACATATGTCTTCACCCGATACCTAAACTAAACTAATATTATTCCAAAATCATATGGAATGAATGAATATATATATAGACACAATCCAAATAATAATTCAACAAAATTACGTCAACAAATCACGTCCAAAGTTTCAGAAGCCCTAACATGCACTCTCATTTCCCTAACATTTGATGCTTGTTTGCTACTGTAAAACGAACTGCCAATGGTCTTTGCATGTTAGTTTACTAATTTTATCTGAATCGTATCTTTCTCTCTTCTCTTTCGATAAATATTAGATTCTCATTCAAGCCGTTTTTCTGTTATTCTTTCTTTTTTTTACGCTCCGATTATACACGCCTCGGATACCGAAGTGTCATATCGCCTCCGAGGCTGAGATCAAGTGGACCCCGCGCAGCACCACTTATTCCGACCTGAAAACGACCCTTCCGAAACTTCTCCGAAGTGATATAGCCATTCCTACTACTGATCTGCTGAAGCATATCATCTCCGAGGTCGAGATCAAGTGGACCCCGGTTAGAAGATTCGCTGCCAATTTGAGATTTGTCCTGCACCTAAGGCTTAAATTGATCTGACGTCTCCATGAGGCTAGTTGATGTGACTTATCAATTTTATGTCAATTCAACTCAGAGGAAACAAACTATCCGCCCACTCTACAAACGCGGCTGATTGACGCCTATGAGCAGACGCTTCATACCGTCAGATGTATACACGCGTTCCACATCCAACGGTTCATACCACCTATAAATACCCAAGGTTTGGCAAGAGGCAAAGGTAATGAAACTCTTAATACATAGCACTCCATAGCAAGTTTATATATTTTCTCCTCCCCCTTTATTGTTGATTTGCATAGCCCCTGGGTACTGTTCCGATCACCCAAAGGGGGCATTCTTGAAAAAGAACAAAGTCGAGTTACAATCCAAGTTCTTACTACCCTTGAAAAAAGAGGTAGAATGAGCTATAGCCATGAAGACGACAATCCCATGAGAGAGGCCTCTAAAGAAGAGGTACTCCATAACAATGTTACTCATTAGAGACCGCATCACTGACGTCGCCGAGGCGGAAGAACAGCCATACTCACTGAAGGAATGGCTCAGATAGCTGCGAGTATGAGAGACATAACAGCTCAGAATATAGCGATGCAGGAACTCCTCATGCAAGCCCAGGGACACTAGAGCTATCAAAGGCCCCAAGGATCTTATCCGGTGCAGAAAATCCCTTATCTCACTCTCGAGACCACATGAGCCGGCACACAGAATGCCCCCTCGAAAGGAAGATGAACGCCGAAGCAACATCTTATGTGCAAGGGAGTCAGCCATCAGAACTTGGGGGACAATTTCCCTCAAGAACACGATGACCAAAGGTCGGTAAGCGTCTTCGATCGGATAGGGGAGGATCCTAGCAATAGGGTCCGCCCAGCAAGGGGATCAGTTTGTTCGGATCACGAACAAGAACATGTTCCCCTTCCTCCTCCTAGAAATAGGAGAGAGAGGAGAAACCTAGTCGATTGGGGGAGTCGAGGAGAAGCGCCTCCACCTCCCCAGGACATCAAAGATGATGAAGGGTCAGATGGGCCCTGTCGATCTTATGAGATTGACGATGATGATGATGATAACCTCCCTTTCTCAAGGGAGATTCGAAGCTTCCCAATGCCAGCTAACTTCATGCCTCCTAAGATCCCCAAGTATGAGGGAAAGGGGGATCCGGAGAAGCACCTCACAGAGTACACGACACAAATGAGCCTTAGGGGAGCCTCGCCTGCTCTAAAATGCAGAGCCTTCCATTTAACACTAGGCGGAGCCGCCGAGGTATGGTACAGCAAGCTTCCTCCCCTAAGCATCAGAAGTTGGCCAGACTTGAAGAAAGCATTTTTGAACCAGTACCTCTCACGCAGGGAAGAAGAGGTAACAATTCAACGCCTGCAAGACATGAGGCAGGCCCCTGGGGAGACGCTGAAAAGCTATCTCGCCAGGTTTACAGACGAAATTACTTACTGCGAACATGTCACTGACAGGAAAGCCCTTTCAGCCCTAAAAGGTGGGCTCCACATGAACACTTTGTTCTGGAGGGACGTGTGCAGCAAGAATCCCTTCACATATGACGAGCTGGTGGAAATGATGAGAGTGAAAATTGTTAGTGAAGAAATGATTGATCATCGCAACCGTGCCGCGCAGGGACTCCCTTCTCTTTAGAGGTAGGTAGGTTGAGGCCCCGCGCACACCTTGTTACTCAGCAATGGACCCAAGCTAGGCATACCATAGCTCCCACATCCGAACAGGCCCTAGCTTCCGCCACATTGAATGCAGTGCCGGTGCTGGCATATGATAATGCCCCTGCTGAAGCGGGACCATCTGGGAGAACTGATAACAATAAGAAGAAGAAAAAGAGGTCAAACAGACCCTTGGCAGGAGCAAGGTTTTGTACATTCCATCAACTATATGGACATGACACTAGTGAGTGTCGTGATGCCAATCGGCGCCTTGATCGAAGCAACCCCCACACTTCCAACAGAAATGAACACCCTCGCAGTTCTACCTCCCCGAGGAGGGGAGGGAGAGGTTACCAGGAACAATCTCTTCGTAGAAGAGAATCGAGGAACTGAGGCCAATCCAGGCAGGGAAACCAAGCCCAATTTTCGGGAGGCCAGGTCATCAGGAAAATCGATACCATCATTGGGGGACCCCACGTCAGTGGCAACACCAGGAATGCCCAGAGAAATTACACAAGAGAAGCAAAGGATCCCTCGATGATCACTTACATTGTTAACGAATCGAAATTAGCAAACAAGATAGCCCCGATCACCTTCTCCCAGGAAGACTCAGAGGGAGTTCACCACCCCCATTGTGATGCTTTGGTTGTAAGAGCCGTAGTAGCTAGAAACGAATTAAAACGCATGCTCGTTGACAATGGCAGTTCCGTGAACATATTGTTCGGCTCCACTTTTGACAAAATGCAAATTGAACATGGGTTGATCCCATGACCGACCCACTGTTCGGATTCACTGGGGACAGCATCATCCCACGAGGGTGGATCACCCTGCCTCTCGAAATGGATTCGGCACCCCTAGTAGCCCAGCATTTCATGGAATTTCTGGTGGTAGATCATAGATAGGCTTATCATGGAGTATTGGGTAGACCCGCTCTGAAAGATCTTTGGGCTGTGACGTCCATTCACTATTTGTGCATGAAATTTCCAACCGAACATGGGATTGCAACAGTCCGGGGCGATCAGATGAGCTCGAAGGCATGCTACCTAAACTCGCTGCGCAAATTCGAGCCCCGAACTGTTAATGTAACCCTAGCCGAGGTACCCGCTGAAGTCGATACGGACGTGAAAATGCTCGACGCCCCTGAACAAGGGCATACCTCTGAACAAGAGGGAGACATCGACATGGAAGAGGCCCCTGAACAAGGACGCCCTCTTGATGAGTTAGACCCCCGAATAATTGATTATGAACCAAATGCGACCCCTATGGAAGAATTGGATACTTTCCCCGTTAACCCGGAAGACCCCAATCAAGTCTTGCGTATAGGGAAGTCATTATCACCTGAAGCAAAAATTGAGATGATACGTTTCCTGAAAGGGAACCTGGATGTCTTCGCATGGAAACATGAAGATATGGTGGAAATAGATCCTAGGATCAGTTGCCATCACCTTAACATCAACCCCTCCTATGCTCCCCATAGACAAAAGAGGTGTGCCCTAAACCCGGAACGGTACGAGGCACTGAAAGACGAAGTAAGCAAACTTAGCCGCAGTGGTTTCATCAGAGAGGCCATCTATCCGAGGTGGATATCCAACCCGGTTCTGGTGAAAAAGTCCAGCGGAAAGTGGAGGGTATGCGTAGATTTCACAAACCTAAATAAGGCATGCCCCAAAGACAGCTTCCCACTTCCGAGAATTGATCAACTTGTG